AAACATTTCTGATTGTCTCTCCTATATCTGAAAAACCCCGTATCCGAAACAAATTATTCGACCATATATTTGTTTTCAATACCTATTAATGCATTCTCATATGAAAATTTTATCATGACACATCATTTGAAAGGCGAAATAGCTAAATACACAAAGAGCTAGTATTTTTTGCATTAGGATAGAAAAAAGGTTGCAAAAGACATTTTGGAGTATACGTGTCAGATTTCTGTCACATAGAAGCTGTAGGTAGAAGGTTTTTACTATTAATAGTTAACGGGTTCCAGCGCATGATTTGATTAGAAAGAGCATCAAAAATAGTATTTGATATGGTGTTCAAATACACATTATATAGCAGGAGGTCGGCTTGAATAGCTATGATTCATATACGAAAGGTGCCTCACGCCTCATGTGTCGTTATTAGTCCTAGGATAAAGAAATAATGGTAAACGACTCAGCAATATAGTACAATATATCAGAAACAAATAATATCGCACAAAACTTGCTCGCTTATAAACTTTCTGAAAAAAAATATTGTCGTTGAATTAAAAACAATAAAAGAATAAGTGTCTTTATCTTAGATATATCCGGAAACCTGCGTTCCGAATTTTGAAAATTCTAAAATGGAATTACGCCTGATCAAGGACTATTTGCTTCACACACATATATGTATTTAGAGCACTATAGCAGCACTAAATCATGAAATCTTTGCAAGGCTCGTTTAGAGAGTGTCTAAAACCCCGAGCTTTGCAGACAGAAGTCTAGTTTGAAATATCTGCGCTGGATCTTAAAGCGAAACTAAGATGATATTCATATCCAAGCCTCGAACCACATCAAATGGCATGTGGCTCAACATCTTCTGAAACAAACATGTTTTTTTCGATTTTCCCTAAAAACCTTTTCTTTTCTTGTAAACACCTTTGTCAGTGGTGTACCGTTATTTCTCGTCCAATGAAAGACATACTCAAGAAAGTTATACTTCATGAAGTCACAACTTTCATATTATACCCTACTTGACAACGCCTCGTTAACTTCTTTTAGCTATAAATCTATAGAAAGTGAGGAAAAAAATTTTGATATTTGAGTTCGTCAACGATTAACTTACATCACTTTTGCTCTGATTATGAATGATAAAACCAAGAAAAAAATGATTTGGTTTGTAGGTGTGTCTAAAGTCAAGTGCGATTGTATTTGAAATGATAACAGGATGATCATTCCAATGTGGAGTATATAAATAATTTGAACTTTGAGGAATGCTACGATTTAATGCATGTCTGAGGCTATTGAATGCTTTGAAGTGTGGAGCATAGTAGTACATCTTAAAAAGTCGCATGATCACCTGATTGTAGAAGCGTAGAAAGAAGGAATCACGAAGTTTCTGTTGCACAAAGACCTCTTCGAACTGTGATATCCAAGCTGGAAAGGTAGGGCTCTCATCCACAAATATAATCGAATGTATAACCAGAGGCACATGGAAGTCGTGGCCAATATCTTGTGCAGCATAAGCAAATAAATCCACTACCATCATATCATATGAATTGTTATGGAGGTGAGCGAGTAATGGATCGTGCGTTTGTACATAATCATCGAGAAGATCAGGGATTGCAACGCGATTCAAGAACTGTAAGTTCGACTCTCCATGGCGAAACTGATATGTCGGTTTCGGTTTTAACAAGCGGCCGAGTGATATCATTGTGAATGACCGATAAGATTCGAGTTGATCATGTACCATTTGTGCGTACTCGTCAACTACTGCGAAACTAACATGGTGTTTGAGTGGCAAAGCACGTGCAAAAGCAACGAGTGGATTGATATGTGAAGGGTGCGAGTGGCTGACAAATAGAATACGTGAGGACGACGCTTGTAATTCTAGTGAATTGCAGTTCAAGTATAGAAATATTCCCAGAAATAATGACACTAACATCAATTTCATTTAAGTATTCGTATCCTAAATGCTAAACAAATGCAATTTATTATTTTTTTCTTTTTCTATACTTCTCACAAATATCTGTGTAGTCATTTTATATTAAAAGTATGTATGTATGTGCACTAGAGGTATGGATACACTTGAATAATTTTCTTATCGTTATAGGTAACTTGTCTCAATAATTAAACGACACTCTTCTTTTTTTCTTTCTGCTCTTTCGAATACGCTTGTTTCTCATCACCTTGCTAAAGAGCTACGATACTAATGAGAATATGTTATTCTTGTAATATGATTGTCTCTTGTTGCTTGTTATTCTTTTCTTCATTCCTTTATCTTACCGTTGGTCTTCTATATTATCATTTTTTTTCGTTCTATATTAGGATTCTATTTCTTATATATGTCTATATTCTTTTGAAGTCGCCATAGTTAAGTGGCTAAGTTGTTTGACACGTGCCCAAAAGTACTCTGTTCAAACCTCATTATCACCATCCATGGAATAACTTATTCCTAGCGTGCTGAATACATTGTTAGTCAAAACATTGAACTGAAGAGATGTAGAAACTACCGTCTGTAAAAAGAAAAAGACGAGAAAAACTGGCTGATACGCTACTTTTATTATTATAATATTCCTTTTAAGATTGATACAAACAAATTGATAGGGCGAAAAATTGTCCCTTTTACAATATGGACTGAGAAAAATTCTGTCTGGTAATAAATTGGTCATAGCTTTCCGAATCTTCTGGAGAATTGATTTGTTAAACACAGTTCGATGCTCCTTGACATTTTCTACAAGACGATATATTTGTTTTCTTGGTTCTGAATATATCATCCTATCTTTCAGGGTCTTTTATTTGAAATAAAATGTAAATTCTGACGAAGCTACATTTGAGTGTTTTAGAATTTTTAATTCATCTTGTATTTCGAAATGAATAACATATAGCTCTATTCCTCTTATTAGATCAGTCTTTGAAAAAAAAATACGCATATACAAGAAATAGAAATGATCAGATAGAAGGCCAACAGTACGATAGAGTAATAAAGAAAAGCGACAATCATATCACAGGGATGACGTATTCTCAATAGTATTCTAGCTGTATATTAATATAACGAAAAATCAAGCACATTAGAAAAAAACAGAAAGAAAAAGAGAGAGCGATGTATGGTTCTTGAATCAAGTTACATATCACGACAAAAAAATTATTCATGCGCATCTTTACCTCTAGTGTACATACATACTTTTAATATGAAATCACTATATACATTTGGTGTGAAGTATAGAAAAAAAAACAACTGAATTGTATCCCTTTAGCATTTACGGTAGGAATAGTTCAATGAAATCAATACTAGTTTTATCATTTCTGGGAATACTTCTATGCTTGAACTGTTATACATTAGAACTACATGCACCACCTTCACGTCTTCTGTTCGTCAGTTCTCCACTTTTGTCGCATATTAAAGACCTTATTTCTCTTGTACGTGCACTGTCACCGAAACATAATGTTACTTTCGCAGTAGCTGAAGAGCTCACACAAATGGTAGTTGATAAACTCGAACCATATCGGTCATTTACAATACTATCGCTTGGTCCCATGTTTAAAATTCAAGAGCCATTTGAGTTCCGTTACAAAGAGTCTAACATTCAGTTTTTGTCTCACACAATATGTCTTTTTATTCTTCGTGATTACGTACCAATGCACAATTCATTACTTGATCATCTTCAAAACCACTCATATGACATGATGGTATTGGACTTTCTCGCTTTCGCTGCGCAAGATCTTGCCCATGATTTAGGTATACCCATGGTAATACATTCCCCTCTGTTTATCAGGGAAAAACCAGGCTCTCCAGCTTGGATACCACAAGCACTTGAATTCATTTCACAAGAACAGTTACATCAATCGTTTCTTCTACGCTTCTATAATCAAATAGTGATACCAATCCGTATAGTCTATTACACTCGACCACTTGTACACGCGTTCAATGGCTTACGGCAGACATTAAATCGCAGCATCTCTAAATCTGCGTATGGTCTATGGGATCGACATTGGAATGATCATCCTGTTCTCATTTCAAACACATTCGCACTTGAATATCGACACAGCCACAAACCAAATCATATTTTCATCGGTTTCCCGTTTGATGATCAAAAGAAAATCTTTGTAAGAAAAAGCCTGGATAAATTTAATATGTAGCGATTCCTCTCTGAGCTTAATCAGTCGATTGTAGTGAGAATCCTTCCAAAAAAATGAAAATATTTTGTTTATCTGTCTGAATCATTGTGCCGAAGTCAAAGAATATCTAGAACAAATTTCTTCTAGAAAAGTTAAAGAAAGTAATTCAAAGTGTGAGAATCCAAAGGTGAAGTCAGTTTTGCAAAAATACTATCATCCTTTCTTCTCATGTTTTCCTGCTGCAAGATCAATTTCGTTAGGCATTGATACTGTCAGGTAACAGTCTATTCAGTTGCCTATTTAAACTCTACGATGCATTTTTGAAACGATGTGTTCTTGAATTGGTTTACACTTTTAAGTTTGATCATACTAAAAACAACTGTACTGAATCCAGTGGGAAATACCAACCTGCCAAACTGCTTTGAATTTAGAATAAACTATCATCTATTAAATAGGGACAACAGAGTCTGTATCATAACAATATTAAATATCTGTACGTAGAAATGCGATCACACCATATATATGCTTCGTCTACATTTAAGACAGTTAAAGCCGATGTCCAAGATTTTCTAGCCGTTAGTTAAAAATTCTGAAATGACGTTCGAAATTCAGGCTTCAATTTTCTTTCAATACTTTCTGCACTACATAAGTGAGTTAACTAGGGTGTCCATTGTTCGAACAGTTTTCATGTCTTAACATTTCACAGATGTTATTTTGGATTGAGGATTATTTTTTTTTAATTCTTGTAGACGGAAAGCGATGAGCACGTACATATTGTGGATCGATGGCTCAATATGACCCAAACACCCAAGGAATTCGTTGTACTAGTTGTATTTGGTACGTTGAATGCGTATCGTTCGGAGGTATGGCAAACAACTATCGATACTTTAAAACTTGTGCCAAATATGCGTCTTCTCTTGGTAATACCTGATCAAACGATGCGTACTAAATTTCAGACTTTATCGCCGACTTCAGTCGACAATTCATCACCTCTACTGATTGTGCCTTGGATTGAACAGCAACATGTACTAACACATCCTTCTATTCGTATATTTATCGGGCATGGTGGATTGCATAGTGTTGGCGAGGCGGTGTACGCACATATTCCAATGATAATAATACCTGGCTTAGGCGATGCACCTGCTAGGGCAGCTGCGATCATGGAAGCTAAGATCGGTTACGCAATTGAAAGAGATGCACTCACAGCCGAGCGACTTGCTACTTATATAAAAATGATTCTTGCAGATTATGACAGCATTGTTTCACGTCTTCGTCGAATACATCATATCGATGAACTCGAAGGAGGAATGCAGCGAGCTGCTACATTGATCGATAACTGGTTGGTAACGGGCTATAAGCATCTGATCACCATTGAACATCAATTGCCTTTTATTGTTGCAAATAATATAGACATACAGCTCACGCTGGTCATACTTATCATTGTTATGTGTTATTCGATTTTTCGACTTGTCAAATGGATCATTCGTCGTTTTCTATTTCGCAGAAAACTAAAACAATCCTAAAATGGTAACATATCTTTTATTATTTGATGATAACCGAAAATCATAATTATTCCTATAATAGATCTTACATTAATATCGATAGTTCTATATTAACAAGAATATTATGACCCTATTTTCTTATCCGTAGAAACCAGTTAATACATATGTGGCAAAACTGATGTTTACTCTTCTTATTATAAGAAACAGCTTGAAACTTATCAGTGTTAATTGTCATAAATATACTTTTAGCTCTAGATGAATACACTGTCTAAAAATTTTTTACAGAAAAGGTTTGTGAGGTATTCATTGTTGATGCACAAATGTTAATAGTTTTCCAGTTTCTATCAGATCAAGCGTGTGGTTTTGCGTTGCTCTTACGATAAATGTTAGCATAGGATAGAGTCAACACGTGAATTGGATGAAGAGCATAGAAATAAATGAATTTATACAATTAAAATCAGCTTTAAATATATATAGGTAATCATCTTCATTAAGCAATATAGATGATGGTGATGTAGACGAAATAAGATATTATCTCAAGGTGGATAATAATAACCATAATAAGTTTTTCTCGAATGATGATTACAGTGTTGACAAAGGACACAAACACCAGAAAACTAACTTTTTAGAATGAAAATGTTTAATAAAATCGAATCGCATACAGAACAAACTTACTTGGAAATCATAATCAATGATGACATAAAATATTCACATAAATAAACAGCTCATTGGTTATCGGCTGGCTAACAAAGGAAACTTTCACACGAAAGATCACTTCAAGTACAGCAGACTAATGAAAAAATAATAATAAATTTTTTTCTTTCATATAGTATTCTGTATGATTTTGTTATTGAATAAACGCCATTCTGTTTAATTCGAACTTCTAGAATAAATGAATGTGCTGAATACAAATAAGAGAAATATTATGTACGTTCATCTCTAAATCCAGGCTTGTATCTATTTCGTCTGATGTTACAAATTCTATAATAGACTTGTCGATATATGACAAAGGGTTTACGAAACTCTAAGGAACATCGAAGGAACTCATGGATACCAGAGTCAACATTTGTCTCCCTGTACATATATCTTGCTGTTTTTATTATTTCACTGAATGGTATGTGTTTCAAAAGATGCACCAATACAACATTTTATCACCTGTGTTTCATTTTATGCTGACATTCCATCATCTGTATTTCATACTATACTCATATTGTATTACTCTTATGCTATACCGTTCTTCCGTTGTACACACTATCATATGTATGTGATGTTCTCTCTACATTATATTACTCTTATTGCACATCATCCGTGTATCATCATTGATCAATACGTATACATTGGTGCCCTAATTATGCTCATATATATCTCGTACATCCTCAGTATCATTGTAATTGTTTCGGAATATACTGTTGTTTCTCAACCCGATATAAGTAAGTGGTAAAAATAACATTGAACAATTGTATACACGTGTAAAAGATATACACAGTAGTGTATAACTTTCTATATTAAAGCCAATTAGCATTAATCAAATAAATGAGCAATTGATAGTGACAAGTAACGAAAGTGTACAGCATTCAACAGAAACTAAGATCAAATCAAGAGCTTACTAATCATCAAAACCATTAACCATTACACTTTTTTCGTTATACCAAGGCTATCCCCAATAGTAGGACTAGACGGCCTATGGGAATCCTTGTAGGACAGTATATATTTATACCTGAAGTTCAGCTCTATCGAATTGAAGTGTTCTGAAAGCTCAATACGCTCAAGTGAGCTGTTTGAGCCGCTCATACGCTCATATGAATTGGTTCGCGAGCTTGAGCTGGTTTATCCTCACACGATAGCAACAGCTCATTGGTCTAAAACTCCGAATACGCCTCGTCCAGCTGCTAAATCGCCATCAAAACGTGATGATTCAATCATTTCGAAAGTTTCTCTAAGTGAATATGCAGGAGATTCAATAAGGTCAGTGTCACGGAATTGTCTCTTTCATTTTAATACTTGATCTCAATTACTTAGTTACTATCTCCATTTTCTGTTAGTCGAAAGATATATCCAAATACAAGCGGATTGTTCGCTCGAAAAGTATTCTGCATCGTTTTGTGATGAAATATGGACCAAACATAGATAGAAGAAACGTATCATTTGAATTGACGAACATGATCAAGGGAGAATACGCACAACTGAAGGAAACAGTGACCTTTCTTTGGAATCGTAATGGTATTAGAACTGACACAATCATATAATTCAGGACCTCATCTTGCAATAAGTGTGTTAATCAACGAAAATGGTTACTATCCTCCGTCTACTGATATATTTTAGCGTGACCACAAACATTTAATGGATTCCGTGCATTTTATATATTGGATTGATAGAGTATGCCCCAAATTACGAAAAAAAAGTTGGTAGAAGTCTTGATGATTTAGCATTTACTTCCTCTAATAGTTTTTTATTTATAAGGGAAATACAGGCTCAATAACTATTATAAAAAAATCACCTCAATGTTAATGAAGAAAATAAATGATAGTTAACTGGCTTCAGACTCATAATATATTACATGCTGATGCCATTTCTAAAGCAGAATCGCTACAACTGGTCTATGAAAATTTATCAAAAGCGAAATATAGAGTGGATGAACAAGCAAAAAGATATCGAACTAATATCTTACAGTAAATAGAGCTTATTTAAATTTATCTCATGCTAATGTTTTTTTTAAGTTTACCAATGAGATCTTGCACCTTAAACCCAATGGATTTTGGTTGGACCAATATGTGAATATATACGTGTTAGAAACACCAAGTTTACCTTGACTAAAATAAACAAATTGGTACATGAATGGATAGACAATTTAGATATAACGCAAACAATCAACTGTATCAATCACATTAAGCAATGTGGAATGACATTTAAAAAGGCTGATAAAATTGTTGAAAAATTGGAAAAAAAATCAAATGATGATGGCACTAAAGGCGAGTATAATGTGTATAGTGCAGATACAGGTGGCGCTGATCATGAGGATAAATAATTCATATACTGATTTTGAGTAAATGTCTTCGTATTCTTTTTGAATTGATAGATTTGAATTGAAGACATATTTTCGATGAAAAGCAAAACCTCATCAATAAATTAAAGATATTCATTTGTTATCATTGACGACTGTATATTCTATTAATGTTGATGCTATTCGAAGTAGAAAAAAGCTCTAAAGGCTAATAGATCATGTCATGAAATCAAAACGCACTAAATACCATAGAAAGAAATACATTTTATTGAGTCCCCCTTGCCTGGATCGATAGAGGCGAAGATAGACTATCTACTCATTTTATTATTATTAAAAAAAGGCACGTTGCATTTATATCGAACTCGATTCATCTCGAAAAAATATAATATACACAAGACAAAAACAGACGCCAATTTTTCGTGGGCTTTATGAAAAGATAGAGAAACCTCAACTCTGGATAATGTTAAAATATCAGATCGTTGTCTTTTTTTATTGTGGATCTATTGAAAAAATGCCCACGGATATTCTCTTCCTGAAATGGTCATTAGATGCCATGTAAATGGATAAATTTTATAAAAGTTAAAAGTGAGAAATATTATCATTAGATAGTGTCATTGATGTATCACTTTCTGATTTATGAGCAGGGTGTCCCGACCACGGTTGAAAGGGAGGTTACTCCCCTCCCGTTAATACAATCTATAGTGCCTCATCTTTTCGTTAGATGAAAGCCTTCTATACCCACCAAAATAACATAAAAAATGTGAACAACCAGTCTCTATAAAAGTGGGAGATGGTATGCAATTATCAGAGATGGAATCGTTACCTGCGACCGATTTCTTAATTTTTTCGTCTTTTCTACTTTTTCCTGATATAAATATATTCGAAATCTCTACTATTTTTCAATCGATTCTTGCAAAGCATATATAAGAAATTAAACCGGTTAGTTACCGATCATTGAAAATCCGGGCCACTTCTATTTATGGTTCCTAGAACGCGATGTGTTTTATTCAAAAATAATATGAGTCTGTTACTGGTAGAAAAGAACTGTACTAGATGCTCAAAGAAATAAGTTAATTACTGATCATAATTATATTGGAACAAAGAAATTTCTGAGACTGCTAACCGAGGAAGCCATTGCATTTGACTCTGTCGAGATCGAAGCATTTATAAAGCCGGGGCAATCAGGAAGAACCGATATATCGGATGTCTGGTTGAATTAGACGCCAGCTGTTAAATTTTTCTTGTGGATTTATTACAGAACTTGTTTTGAGCAAAATGGTTCTATATGGATGTACATGGTAAATAACATTATTAATGAGAGTAACAGTATTGATATTAACTAAATTCACAGCAGTATACGGCACATATAGAGGTCCTACAATTCGATTATTAGTCACAGTAGTATTCAATGTAGAAGTGATTAGAATATTATCACAGGACGAGCGCACTATCGTATTGTTATTGATTAAAATATTGAGAAGACCATCGGCTACTGGATTTTGATTCAACTTGAGCACATAAGTAAACATACAAATGGAACCCCAGCCATAGAAGAAGCCAGTGTCATTTACCCAATTTCCTTCGATAGTGTTATTTTGGCCGTAGTCTGCTTCAGTAAGAGGCTCTGCTTTGATATGAATACCTCCAATACTACTTCTATTCACAATATTATTTCGAATGCTTCCGCACGATGCCAACGAATGAGGTTCTTTCCAATAAGGAAACCGTTACTTTGATAGGAGATATCAGTAACAATATCTTCAACTTGTATGGAATTTACAATCGATACACTAAGAGTAACATTCATAGGTCTGTCGGCTTCTCGATGAACAGCTGTGACAGTAACATAATCTCATGCAGTATATAAATGTGTGTAAATACGGAGTTTATCATCAACCATGTAGTGATAATTATAGCCCGCTCTGATGCGACATTGCCTATCAGCATTATAGGTGTTTGTTACATTTTCATACATGCCATGAATAGCGATGGCATCGTCTTTCATTCCTTCAACTAGACTATTTCGTATTGTAGGTCCTTTCTCCGTAGCAATATAGTGAAAACCATCGGTCGCACAGGTTATCAAAGGCTGAACGGCTCCGGCTACTGGTGAAGATGATACATATATGATTCGGACACGACACTACAGATGAACTTGGGCACCTAAATATGCAAAGAAACCACAACCACCACAATTTAAAATTGTCACGTCAATATAGGCGATCGCTACAGAATTCAATGCATGAAAAAAATGTGTAAAAAAATAACCTTGTGCTGTTATATAAACGCCCACATACAAGCTACCTTAAGTGATATAATTAACCGATCTAAAGAATCGAATCTTCCTGCCATCCTCCGTAAGGGTTTTCGGGCGCAGAAAGAAAAGAAACTTCTGTCATTTTGGACGGTTCATAGGGAAATCGAGTTGTTTCATTAAAAATATAGCCAACAATCGAACGTTGATTAAGGATGAATCGATTTGGATATTCTGAACATAAATCTACATCAATCCAGAGAGTCTGATTGTTTGTTGATGATATTGTTATGTTCCTTACCATAGCTTGAGAAAAACTGGACTCATTGTAGATTTTTGTTATACCACGCAGAATTACATTGCTTGATGAAGCAAATATAATGCCAGCTTTGGTTCAATCGTGAAAAACAAGTTCAACACGATCAAACCAAATGGTAAGATTATTTAAGTTGGTAAACAATATTGAATACATCGAATTGTGTTCATTCGAAGGAAACACAGGCCAACTTCCGTATGCCACAGCTACTTCGGAAACATCAACAGATACTTGAGACCATATTCATGTCACGAACAGAGTCACATTAAAATCAAATGTTGATGGTGGTATATAAGAAGGAAGATCCAAAGAACGATACTCAAGGTCATAATCAACGGATGCGTAGCAAATTGGCAAAGTCGTAAAGACGAATATGAACAATAGAATCACCTTCATAATTCTATTCATATAAGAAGATAATTCCAATGGCGCAGCAGATTATTTCTTCAATATACAACATTGAAAAATACCTTTATTGTGGGATAGGTCCTAACAATTTTCATCATTATCTGCTTTCTTCATTTATTTAAATTTTGATTCACAAGTGCAAAAATATTCATTCAGAAGGACAAACAAATGAATGATTATCACAAGTTATTCTTCTTCACTCACAGTCTCTCGACGTCAAGGTCTTTTAACTCGCATACTATCGCATGAAAATGTAAAAAGCCCTTTTATTTTTCCGTCCTGTATACTTACCATTTACTTCAATCAAATTATCATTTCGTCCAAATAGAAAATTCTTTAGCAATACCTAGAATCCAACAATGGAAAATTCAAGGAAATTTTAGAAATTCAGGTAGAACTTCAACTTTCCGTCATACACCTGCGAGCACTACGCAAGTGAAGGAAATCAAGAAATTCAGGAAATTTTTGGAAACCCAAGGAATTCAGAGTTACATACAACTTTAAGGTGCACCCCTTCTAAATATCATGGAACTGAAGAAAATCAGGAGATTCAAGAAGTCTAATGAAAATGAGTGCATTGTTAAAAATCAAAGGTGGTTTATATCTTTGAATTGAATTGCGGAAGCATTTTACGGAATGTACATAGGTGAATTGTGAGAGATTTAGATGATTTTTGAACGAATGCACTTTTCAGTAGAAGGAGACATGTAGAAGAGTGTGGGTGTGGGAGGTGAATGTGGATGTGTGAATATGGATTCGGATGCGGGCACCAGTGTAGACGTCAGTCAGAGTGTGTAGGTACTGATGTGAACCTGGGTCAGGATTTCTGTATGGACGTTGGTGCGTAGATGTGCATCTGGATATAGCTGCCGGTGTAGATATAAGTCACGGTATGGTTGTAGGTGGCACTGCGAATGTGCGCTAGAGTTTAGATGCGGGTGTCGTTACCAATGTAGGTATCAGTCACAGTGCGGCTGTCTACAAGAGTATTGATAGCGTACAGTTCCCAGTCTGGCTGAAAGCGCAAACGACAACGCATGTAGGGGTGGCACTTTAACTTTAAACTTTACAGGTTAAAGTAGTTAAAGTTTAAAGTCCCACTCTAACCTTTAACTTTAAAAGTTAAAGTTTAAAGTACCACTTTAAACTTTAACTTTTAAAGTTAAAGTGAGCGTACTTTAAACTTTAACTTTACAAAATTTAAAGTTAAAGTAAATTTTTCACTATAAAAAAAACTTTTCTTAAAAAATTCATAAAAGTGAATAAACATTTACCGAAGTACCCATAACTCTTCATGCACTCTGAAACGGAGTTATCCTAGGTAATCATATACTATATATTGTGGATACCCTTGGGTCCTCATATCCTATAAATTGGGGGTACCCTTGGGTCATCATAAAGTATATAAGCGTTGTACCCTTGGGTCCTCAAGTACTCTCTAGTGGTGACAACCTTGGGCCATCAACGACTATATAATGAAGGACAGTCGCAATAATTCATGTATTGTGTTGCATCAATGTTCGCATGTC